GAAAGAGAGAGAGAGAGAGAGAGAGAGAGAGAGAGAGAGAGAAGAAAAACTTTTAAGTAATGCTTGTAAATTGTTATTGAAACATATAGGTACATTTCTCTAATGACATGTAATGTGGGTTATAATCATTGTGAAAAATGTGCTCATACTTTTTCATCACTTTCCTTTCTCCAAATGGTTTGGATTTGACTTAAACAGTCAAATCAACCCCATTTGTTTAGCCTATTTAAGCCAGATTTGGCCATTTGTGCGTGTAAGCACTACCCCAGCTTACTGTCAATAAGATTGCTAAAGAATTTACTAATCAGACTCCCCCATAGTCAGTTAAAAATATCCTAAGTACTTAATAATCATATGTTTTTTTATTAATCAGAATCTTATTTCGAATACCCTCACTTGTTAGAGTTGAACAACACTTGGATAAGTGTATATTTCCTGATGATAGACTTGTGTGTCCACTGCTGTGTACGTTTGTCAGTCAGTTGCTGATCTCGCTGTTGTTCTACTTCTCGTAATTTGGTATAGATACAGGCAACCCAGAACGGGTTCGACGTGGTCTCCAGTATAGACCCATTTTGAATGTTGTAGTGTCCAACAGACCTGACGGGAAGAAATGAAGAATAAATAAATTTTAAATCTGCCCTGTGAATAATAATACTAATTATAATAAGTAATAATTTTATTTATTTATATTTTGACATGCTTTCGACAAAAATCTACATAAAATGTTTTTTTTTCAAGAAATAGTGAGTTTTCAGTGTCATGCATCTACAAATGATGATATACATAAGACTAGTTCTCTAAAAACAAACCTATGTAAATAAATAAATAAATAAAAAAATATCCCCCACCTATCATCTGCCAGTGGGTTATCCTGGTAATACAATATGTCCACTTTAGCATGACTTACACTCTTGCAGTGCTAAAACAAAATGTGCAAAATTGTGACAACAGCAGCAATACACACTCACTACTACCAGTGCCAACCACATCTATCTATCTACAGCGTACTTAGTACGTACCATAAACCCTAAAGGAGAAAAACAATCACCAATATTCATCCAATGCGTATGTTTGTTCTGTTATTTTCTACCATCATAGTTTTACTGCTTTACCGTCTAATCAATATTGTTGAACGAGGATACACTTAGCACAACCGCTGCATTTCACTTTCATCAAGTATGACAAATATTTACATTACGTTAGAATAGATGTACCTCTTTCAAATCTGCAATCGTAGTCCGAGCGAAATCGTTCACCTCTACAGAGATCAGCTCTCGTTCAGGAGTTGCAGGGTCGTACTTTTGCTTGTTTCGTATGTAAATGCGCATCTTAGTTCCACAAGAAAAACATACTTGAAGACTTGCTCTCTCTGTCTGATCGTCCAAGCACTTTTCTGTCTGTTTACGAACCTCCGAAGTGTGAAACTCGCGGCATATTGGACATGGAATGTGAACAGGAACGAAACCTGCGTGAGCAACATATTTATACATTAATATCCAAATAAAAACCTAAAAATACAAAATTGAACTATTTTATGAAGATTTTTGACAATAAATGTGATATTTATTACATAAAACAAAAAAAATATAGACATTTAAGCTCAACGTCAGTTTCCGTAATCATCCTTCTTTCACCATAACCGACCTAAAAAATACCCGCAGTTTACAGTGATACTGCAATCTGATTGGTTCATTTCCATCACTTCGCGCCGAATGCGAACTTGTTGTTTTCATCGCCTCTACGAAATTTTATGTTTTATCTGTTACAGTCTGAGTAGAATCTCTTCACTTAGTCAATACATTACGAAACACACTCTTTTAAGATGTTGGGATCCTATGAAGACAATTCACCTCGGAAAATACCTGGTAAGTCATAATTTTAGGGAACACCTCGTCGTCGAGGGAACAACGGCAAAGAACAGTTTATATTTTCACGTACTACTACCAGTCATGTGTGAAGTACTTACTTATATTTTATGATAATTAACATTAGATTAGAAATAGTATATATGGAATTCATTGTACAGTACAAAATAAATTGAAAGTGAAGACATTCTTGATTTTTTCAGAGTTCACTCTTTTCACTCAACCTAAAGACATTTGTAAGCTGCCCAAGCAAGAAACATTTACAGTAAGTGGACTGAATGAGTGTGTGTGTGTTTGTGTGTGTGTGTGTGTGTGTGTGTGTGTGTGAGAGAGAGAGAGAGAGAGAGGGAGAGAGAGAGAGAGAGACTGGAGGTGGTTGCGGCATGACTAACAAGAATTTTAATCTTAATAATTACTTCAGCCAAATAGTCTATGTATTTGGGGAAAAAAAAGGGTTCTGGACAGCAATAATTGCTCAGTATAAAGTTTCAGTAAATTTATTTTCAATATTGATAAGCAGTTTCTGGAAGAAAAAAACAAAGAATTATAATTCTCCTATTCATTGTAATAAAATCTTTAAATTTGTGGGATTCCATCAAAGTTCTTTATTTCAGGTTGCCGTGGAGGGAAACATTGGTTGTGGCAAAAGCACATTTTTGGAATATTTCAAGTCTTCGAATAACGTGGAGGTTCGTTCTGAACCCGTGGACTTATGGAAAAATGTTGGAGGATGGAATTCACTGGTGAGAAAGAGAAAGGGTCATTGTTTTCTGGTGCAGGCTTTAAAGCCTTTGAAGGTCATTTGAACAGAAAGTTTAAAGTTAGATGTATTATTATTATTATTATTATTATTAAGCTATAATTGATAAATCGTCATATCAGGTGTTTTACAAACACTGGATAATTTATCTTGCTGGTTTTTCCTGGATGTATACCCATGCCTTGTTTTATATCAACCCATATATTTGTTTCCATAGGAACTAATGTATAAAGATGCCAAAAGATGGAGCCTGGCTTTCCAGTCATATGTACAGCTCACTATGTTACAACAACACCACAAACCACAGGTCAAACCAGTCAAGATGTTAGAAAGATCCGTTTTCAGTGCACGCTTCTGCTTTGTCGAAAACCTATACAGGAGGTAAAATCATAAAATTGACTTTGTCTGAGGTTTTCTTGAAGTATTGACTGAAAACAAAAGTTTTTACTTGGTTTCAAATGTTGCAATATTGCAGTCTTTGAACATTTTTAAAGTTTAAACTTTGGTTGAAAATATTTGTCCTTTTTTCAGATTGTTAAAAAATGAGTAATTAAATCGACCATTAGTGTCATGTTGGTGTTGATGTCAGCAGTCAATATTGAGTTTTATCAGACCTCCAATTCCTGGATATTAGTCTGTATTCTATGCCAAATATACAATAATGGTTATGGAATCTTGGGAATCTTAATCCTGGAATCTTATGGATTTAGTAATGGGTATTTAAAAAAAGAAACCATAAAATCTCAACTACTTATCAATGAATTTATTAATTTGAAATTATTAAAAAAATAGTTCAAAACAAAACATGCCAGAATTAAGCACTTCTTAGTTGTTTCCTTCTTAAGAAGAGACTAATTGAAAGAAATATTTGATGGCTTTTCATCTTAAAAAATTATTGTCCACCTAATAAATTCCAGTGGATGTATGCCAGCTGTGGACCATGCTATACTGGAAGAGTGGTATCAGTGGATTTTAGCCAACCAGACCGTTCAACTTGATCTCATAGGTATTGTAATGTGTGCAACTTGAAAAATATGTTATCCAACCACAGACATGCGTAAAAAAATTGAAATGACCAGGCAGGCACAAGCAGTTATGAAAAATGGGTCAGAAAGAAGTACTTATTCCTGGACCGACTGTAAATTCAAAATGGCAGCTCTTAAAAATTGTGTAAAAGAGACAAAATGTCAGGATTGTCAATATACTCAACATACTTTGGTCTTGGGACTGACAGTTTCAGTATGTCCATAACCAAACTCTTCAGGGGGAACATAAAGGTATTTTAATGTGTGCAACTTCAGTTGATGTTTGTTCCTGGTTGTAAAGTGCCAGGTCATGATTGTGATTGGTGCAATATTCAGACAATTTGGCCTATATTAGGAAAATATCTAGCTTTATTTCAGTAGAAATAAAATGTTTAAGTAAAAATTGTCAGACCTCATATCAGATAAGTGAATATTTTTAGCATAAATTACACCATATATAGGAAGTGTTTTAGATTATGCAAATATTCATCGATGAGTATTTTTTTATAAATTAATCCATTTTTTTCAGTCTACCTTCGTGCAGACCCCTGTACGTGTTATGAAAGGTTAAAAAAGAGAAACAGACAAGAAGAGACGGGAGTGCCCTTGGTAATTATACCCCCCCTCTCCCCCTCTGAGGAGGTCCAGTTCTTGCTCTTGTTGGTTTGTTTCTTAACAGCCTAACCCAAATAGTTGTGGATGTATTTTGATAAGATGTTCAATATAGGTCAAAAATGCTCGTGAAAAAATCAGTTTAAATTTGGCAGTGATAAATTTATTGATTAATAATAATGAGAATTGAACTGCCCTCTGGGTGCTTTCCTTGTTAATGTTGTACTGGAACCAATTATTTTAGCTGTGGCCCAACACAATTCTGTCACATCCATCATGATCAGTGGTGCAACAAAGAATGCGGTCAGAAATGTCACAGCTAACGCAATCAGTCCAGTCACAGCTAGCACAATCAGCACATAATGTTCACCATGTCTTATGCAATAATTCCCCATTCTTACACCAGGACTATTTGGAGGCCCTCCACCAACTGCATGAAGACTGGCTGATACACCAGAGACTTTTCAAGGTCCCAGGACATGTAGTGGTAGGCTCTGGTCTATTTCTTTCTGTTATTCTTACACTTTATTTAAGATTTTGTCAATAAAAAAAAAATAAAACAGATTTTCAGAGAAGAATTCCGTCAGCTTTGTAATGCACTTGAATAAAGCAGTCAAAGACTAGTTTTGATATTGTTTTTGTTAACAAAAATTCCAGTCCTAAATATTGATTGAAGAAAAGTTCCTACGTTATTTTTAATAAAACTTTTCACATTTGAAAATATTTGAGTTATGCATTTTTTTTTTTTTTTTGTGAAGAAAATTATCATTTATATATGTTGTTGAAAGGCCCAATACTTTGATGGAGTAGTGACTGCTGCAGGTTATAAGCAAGTTGTCCTTTATTTTCTCCACCAAAGAAGTCACGTTTTTGATTTAGTTGGTCTTTTAGTAAGCAGCATATCTCAACAAGTTATGATTAGATTTTGATAACTTTTGAAGGATATGTCATAAATGGGCTAGATTTTTGTGGTGATTAATTCATTGATTACTTGATTGATTAATTATGGTGAGAATTGAACTGCCTTGGCTGAGGTCCTTTCTCTCAGAGTGCTTTTTTTGGTGTGAAAAAGAAAATTTTGGATCATTAATACCCTTTTACCGAGTGTAGACAGCTACTAATCCTGGGCAAGTTGTTTTGGAAATGATCTCAAGTAGTTTATTTTTAAAAATTATCGTTTTCTTTTCTTACCCCTGCAGGTGCTTGATGCAAACAAAAACCTTGTGGAACTACAAAAAGAAATGGAGGAGAAGAGGCAGGAGATATTGTGTGGGTACTTCTGAACAGTATGTCACAGTTTATTGCACTTAAGCTGGTGGATGAAACGCTTTGCATGTCTGTGACAAATTTAGGAATTCTGACATTGTAAAATTTCCAGGGACAATTTTGCATAATAAGGTAGTTTATGGTTTTAGGAGATTTATGATCAGTCCAAAATCTTATTTTTGAGCCTGCAAATTTTGATGTCCAAGCAATTGGCTGTGGACTTGGGATTGATACTGACCATTGCAGGGTTAATTGCAATTAACAATGTTGACCTGGAGGTGGTGTTTTTATAATGGTTCAGAAATTAAACCATAAGCATTCTTCTTTGAAGCTGTGTAGATGCCATAAAAGCAGAACAGAGTATTGTGGGGCTGGTTTTGAAGCCAAGTTGAAGTTGTACTGGTTGAATTCTTTTTATGGTCAGTCTGCCTGACCTTGACCTTGTATGCCATATTTAGAAGTTTCAGTCTCACGTTGATAGGACATATGGTAGAATCGGTATAGCTTTTGCCTTAGAACTCTAACGATAATTTACCTTGAACAAATCGTATGGAATGGTATTTTTCTTTAGTTATGTTACAGATACCTATGAAAATTGCTTGAACATACTTTTCAGTCCTAATGTGTCAAAGTTATGCAGCGTCTACTGCATTTGGAAGAGTTCTGACATCGTATTTGGACATTTAACCTTTTGTTGTCAATAATTTGGTGTCAGTTCAACTTTGATTCTGTGAAAGGTGTTGTCAATTAGACATGGGATTCTAGTTAAGAGGTTATACCATGTAAGGTAGTGTCTGTGTACCTAAAAGTGTCGTGCTGGAGAGGGGGGGGGGGTATTTGATTAGATGTTAGAGATGTGCACTTGGCAGCTATGTTGTATTTTCTGATACTGACTTTTGGTCAGCTTGAACTTTTTATTTTTCTTTTTAAATTCTTATTTTTATTTATTTATATATTTTTGGGTGGTGGGGAACTGTGCAAAGGCACTTAATATATCATATCATAGCTTAAAATGTAAGTTCTTACAATGTGTTAAAACAATTTTTTACTGTAAACATCTTGTTTCCTTTTACTTTGATAATTTTTGTGTTAATGTATTTTTGAAAGAAAAGTCCGTGCTGAAATGAGCATTGTTGGATAACAGTTGCTTCAAGTGCAAATGAGTTTAGAGACAGATTCCTGATTGAACTGTCTGCCCATGACAAATTAAAGGGATAATAAGTCATCGTTTCGACCAAAAAATGAATTTACCTGGAGTAAACAACAATTTTCCTATACTTACCAATGGTTAATGAATCCATTTTTACATTCAAAGTTAGTCCCTGGTTTTTTCTAAAAAATTTGGTTTTTTGTTAAAATCTCTTAGAGATTTTAACAGAGTATAGCCATCAATGGAGGTCAAGTGGTCTAAAGACAAGCTCAGATATCAGAATAATAGCTCTAACTGCCGTTTTTGTGATAAAACCGAATATATTATATTTTCTATGAGTTATTCACAATGTTTTTATTGTGAAATATAGATCTCATAGGAAGAGTTATTATCCCTTTAACTTTGGTCTGAATGCGTTCATTCAGTTTTATTACAATTTTATACTTTGTTTTTATACGTTTTATAAAATTTCTTATGAAATAAATGTGTATGTTGTCAGTTTTATGCTTGTTTGTATATGTCCTGTGTTGTTTACTGCCCATTTGGTCTTGAAATAACACTGAAATAGGAAAAAATTCTGAATGACCCCAGTGAAGTAGACCTGATGAATGCCATCTTTTTTTTTTTTTTTTTTCAAATGTCTTAAATGTGTTAGTAACACGGTAATTAAAAGAAAAAAAAAATTTGGCGGGCATGGGGTCTGAAACTTGGCTCCCCTTTATACAACTTGATAAGGAAACATGACCCAGCTTTCATGAGGTTTGGTGTCCATGCAAATTAGTAGTTTCTAGCAGGTGTCTTTGCTTCATTACCTGTCCATTGAGCTACTTATAATGACAGGTGGGCTTTTAAGGACTTTATTTGGCAAATCATTTAAACGCGTGGCTCAATTAGAATGTAAGATGGTGTGTGACTGGAGGAGAATACGTTTGAATTATTTTCTTATTATTTTTTTATTATGCAATTTAGGCCAGAGGCAAAAATTTATTTCCTGGCAACTAAGAATTTTTTTTTATTCTCTGAAACATTTTGACCCATACATATAAGAATATATCAAAAGTAAAAAGGAAAGATATTTTTGATACACTTAATAATTTGGTGAAATTGTGTACTCAAACACACCATAACGGCTCAAGATAATTTTATTTTTAATCCCAGGTGCCAATTTGTATGTGAGAATTTATCGCTTCTTTTGGTGAGATATGCTGTTAATAGCACGTTTTTATGCTGTTATACTTGTCTATTTTCAAGCTAACGGTGCAGTTTAATCGGTGATCAACTGCAGACAATCAATTTTGATAGGAGCGATAGGACAGCCAGTTCATTTCACACACAACGAAGTATGATATAGCTTGACTTGTCGAGTGAACATGTAACCAAGTGCTTGTGGATGAAAAATTAATGAGGAATCTTTGTAAGTTTTAAGACCTGTGGAAAGTTTGTCACGTTACTTGGGTTGTTTGCCTGAAATGTGAACAGTCAACTGGTCGTTACGTACTGCCGGTCATTGATATGGTAGACAGAAGATTAATTTATTCGGCTAATAAAAGTATAAATATAAATATTGGAAATTATTTTCCTTGGAAAGATAAAACTAAAGTAAAGAATTGAACATTGAAATATTTATGAATTGGGATTTAAATTGAAATTAAAATTTGATACTCCAGGGGAATAAAAACTACTCAAAACTGTTTACTGCCCTTGAATGTCAGAGGTCTTCTATTGCTGGGTAAGAATTTAAAAAAGAGAGATAGCTGGATGGGTGGGATCCACCATAATTCATTTTGTTGTGTTTTCCATTCCGTCTTTCATGATTTCATTCAGTTTGGGGATATCTCTCCCAGTTATTTTACTGACAAAGTAACGGTTATTTTATTGCCTTTAAGGATAAAAAGAGTCCTGGAGATCTGATGCAAGACCCCAACACTTATCTTGGAAAAAATAATCCTCTACCTTATCCCATTCTACCGGATGCCAGCAAGTGTTTTCAGGGTTCATTCCCAATAAAAGTATCCTTCTACGTAACGTCTACTCAGCGCCAGGGGGAGGTGTTGCATTCAGCAAGAGTCCCCTTGGAATTTGGTTGATCTCCATAGAATGACAGCTTCATTGGGAATGAGCCGTAGGTTGTACAATTTATTAAAAGAAGAGTGAATGTTGATGAGTGTTAGTAATTAATTTTTGGGTCATTAAGCTAAAGTGAGACATTTGGATTCAGGATATTACATAAGGTGACTTTTGTTTTTGACCTTTCCATTCCCCCCCCCTTCCCCCCCTCCCTGCAGAGATATTGTTTGGGAAAAGAGCAGGCCTCTTGTCTATCGCCCAAGCCAAGCACCTGCCTCATGCCGCCTGTCATAACAACCATTTTGTTCAGCAGCAAATACCACAAATGCATCAACGCGGAAGCTTTGACATGTTCTCACTAATGATTCCGCCATTAAAACTTCTATTATTGGTTCGCTGCCTGCAGTTTTATGCCTTGTTTTCGTCTTTATTTGCTGTGCATGAATAAAAAACTAATTACTCAAGATATATGGGTTTTATGGACTGAGCTTCATTAGGACTTTTATTTACGTCTTGCTTGTTAGTAATGAAACAAGATGGAGAGTGGATTATGGTCTGTGATTACACATCATGTAAATGTGAAATTAGAAAATTAGTGTATTACTTGACAAGTTGGTTGCCCTTTTTCAGCGAGTTGACCAAACCAAAAAAATTTAATAAGGCAGTTGTAGTGACAGCCTATTTTAATTAAGTACTAAGCCTGTTTATTTATTTGAATTAATGACAAAATTGCAAACATCTTTTTCAATTTGTTTTAAGAATAATTATTACACTTTTGTACTAATTAAGTTGTATTAATTCATTTTGTTTGTATGCTTCAAATTTGGAGTCGGTTTTAAAAATAAGGAATGGAAGTATTCTACTTGATAAAGGGTTAAGACAATCTTATTAAAGAATTACGGCTATTTTAAGCTCTGTTGTGTCTATCCTCATGTCAGTAAAGTGTGACAAATATTCAATTAATGCAAATGTTATTACTGGAGCAATGAATTGCAAATGCCATTTATTGCTTTGGTGAAAAATTGCCCAAATTTATCTTCTGAATGGCCAGTGTTGCATTAGTGGAAAAACACTTGTGATTATTTCTTTTTTTCACATTTTCATAATTATTCTATATTTGATAAAGTATTTTACACCTAATGTCTGCCCCTGAAATAATTATAAGAGGCAAATTTATAAATTAAAAATTTTTAGATATTTTGTAAATAGAGAAACTTTATTTATTTACCAAAGTTCCATTTAATTTGTTTTTTAATTCACAGCTGTTGCAACTCTACCTTTAATTTTTTTCCAAAGAAGCGATCTTTACTAAAACTTCATCCATCTCCTTTGAATTACTACTTCAATTTATAAGTTTGATTTGTTGTTTGACTCTTTATGGAGATATATATTAAATATAGATCAAACTGACTTTTTGAAAACATTTAAAAGAAAAACTAAAAAATAAGAATATATATATCCATATTTCTGTTTTGCCCATGCAGCCCCCCCCCCCCCCCCCCCAAGGTTGAGTAGAATACAGAAAAGCTGTTGATTACACAAGTACGTTGGAAACAAAAGGAGGCCTGTTAATCTGATTGCATTCAGCAAGAGTCCCCGCAGAGCTGTATTGATCCACGTAGACCCATAGTTTCATTGGGAATGTGCCCTACGTGCTGAAATGGGTAAAAAAAAAGAAAAAAAAAAAAGAAACTTTGGTGTTTTTGATGCCAGTTGCTGAAATATTCCTGATGAAGAAAATATCAGTTGGTCTGGATTCTATTGACCCAGTTCTTCATTTATTTTTTTTTTGTTCATTGTCTGTATATGCCCCAGCCTTGCTGTCTTGTTAAAGAGCCTGACAAAAATGACAAAGCATCTTATTTTTACTGCCTTCTCTGTCTCTGTTTTGTAAAATGCCCATAATTCATTCCATTTCATGGAGGTTTGTTTATAGTATGGGGTTCCCTGCAGGCAGATGTGCATATGTAATGAATTGTCAAAAAGTATAAATCAGTCGATGAAATTATCACTGTAACAGCCCATTTATCTATGATTTGTATTTCAAAACTGAAAAAAATGCAAGAATTCAATTCATCGGTCAATCCACTCTCTCCTACAAAGTGGCCATAACTCATCGTACCCCAGAGTTTGTTGATGACTTGCGGTTGAGTGGTAATCATGGGAGCGTGCCGACTGACACGCCATAATGGGCAATACAAGTGTGAAAAATTAGTCCAAGCGCAATTAGGCTGGCTTACTTCTTCGGTGTTACTTGGTACAAGGGGTGATTTGTCATCCTATTGCAGTTTACCAGGCCACTGTTAATCCACATTGCCATTCCGCCGGGACTATTTTATGGTGCTCCCTGGTCCATAACTCAGCGTAAATTTGTTGGACTT